GTTGCCGCGGTGGCGCGACTTGGCGTTCAGCAACAGTTTGTGGAAATCGGTCGGTCTGCTGAGTTGCGGGGAGGGGGGCGGGCGCGCTGGGGCGGGGGGCGTTCGCTCTAGCCGCTGGAAATGAAGCGGGGTGGGAGGCGGGAGGGGGACGAAGAGGGGGGTCTGGGAGGGGGGAGGATCTCGGGAAAGGCGGGCAGACCCTCTGCGGCCGCGGCCGCGTCACAGCCAGTCTCAGACCTGCCCCGCCCATCCTAGCGCGCCTTCTCTGCAGTCGCCCCCTCCCCTCCGCGCCTCCTCGCAGCGCGCCTCCCCCGGAGCGCGCCTCCGTTGCCGCGCGCCTTCCCAGAGCGCGCCTCCCGCAGCCCCGCCTCCCCAGGCTGGCTCTCAGAGCCCGCTTAGCCGAGCCCCGCCTCCACGCCTGCCCCCTTTGGGGTGTCCTGCCCAGACCCTGCCTCCCCGAGCCCGCCTTCTCTGACGTAGCTCCCCCAGGTCCCGCCTCCCCTGGCCCCCCTCTTCTTGAGGTGGCCGGCCTGCACCCCGCCTCCCTCAGCCCGCCTTCTGTGACGTAGCCTGTCCAGATCCCGCCCCCCTCGGCCTGCTTCCTCTGAAGTGGCCCTCCCCTCGTACCCCGCCTCCCTCAGCCAGCCTCCTTTGAGGCGGCCTACAGCCCCGCCCTCCTCAAAGCTCCTGCGCCTGCGCAGTGTGAGCTCCCATTACTCCAGCCCCCCCCCATCCCTCCCTCCTGGTCTCTTGCCTTTGCGCCTGCGTACCTTACTTGTCTGAGCCTGGCTGTACAGCCCCGCCCCCCTGCGGTTTCTGTGCTGCGCGGTTTTTGGTTTTTGTCCACTGGTGTCTAATAAATCTAAGAGTGAGATCAATTAACAACAATTATATCTTGCATTCATAATCACTTTCAACAAGTGCCTTTAATATTATACAACATAATCCTACAATTTAATACTACTGATGGTGGATTATGATGGGAACATCTAAGTTTACCTGGCTGGTGCCTCAAGGCAATTCAGCCAGCGCTTTTATTTCAAATAACAAAACAGAATTAAAGGAATATTTTCACATTTACACTTTTTTTCCTTGGAGACACTCGTGGACCTATTGGAATTGGATGCTTTGGTGAATACAAAACAAGAGCAAGTTGAACTTTGAGAGAGTTTAAGTGACTGGTTGGTACTGCTGGCTTGGACTCGAAGGAGATTGAGGCGTTTCTGTGTATAGGAATCAGGGTGTTGTTTTTCTATTGGACTCTAGAGGATTAGTCCCGCCTACATATAATAATGTGCACTTGGCACATGTAGGCATTCATTAATTACTTGTTAAGTGACCAGAATAAATTGGTTTATTATTGTGTTGCCCAGGTCTGAAGTTTCTGATTTCTGAGTCCTGGGTCCTTTGGCACTTTGCTGTCCTAGGTTGTACTGTTGTCTTAACTTTCTCACACCCAACAGTGTCTTCTAAAGTTTTTGGCTTGTTCTAAAAAAGAAAAAAAAATGTATATGTTTTTGAACTGCAATTATGTGAGCTGTAATTATAATATAAAATTAAATTAAATTAAATTATCCCAAGTAATTAGCTTTTTTCATAAAAAGCTAATTATTTGCTATCCCAAGTAATTAGCTTTTTTCATAAAAAGCTAATTATTTGCTATCCCAAGTAATTAGCTTTTTTCATAAAAAGCTAATTATTTGTTATCCCATGTAATTAGCTTTTTTCATAAAAAGCTAATTATTTAAGTTTTAGGCAAATGGGTTATTAATGCTACATATTGGCATTTAAAATTTGTGTGATGTAACATAAACGAGTTACATTACAAAATAAAGATTGAATTTTCAGCTGTCATAATTAAACATCTGTATAATATACAGATGAACTATGTAAAAAGGCTTCTAACTGAAGAAATTTAAAAACCTGGTTCCATATTTACAAACTATGAGCCAGGATTTTATTAAGGGGGTGGGGGGGGAGGAGGTTTTGCCTCCCACAAATCAGTCACTCTACTAATTCCCCTCCCTCAAATTATTTTTCCTTTGGAAATTCTGTGATTGTAATTACAGCTTTAAGTCTGTTTCCTATTTTGGGAATTTTATATATGCATATTTAAGAGGCCTAAAACATTGATAAAGCATGCACATACTAATTTGCATTTCACAAATAATGCAGTTCTCAAAATCTTTGGACAATATTTGAAAGTTTACAACACTAGCATTTATGTCCCATTTCCTTTTGGGACATTTATACATGGTGTTTTGGGCCTCTTTTTTTTTTTTTCTATGTTTGAAATTTTAAAACTTTTTAGATGTCATAATGACATTTGTCCCAGGCAGTTAGGCTTTATGCAGTGTGACCTCTCAGTTTCAGGAATGGGACCTTGACCCCCTCCACCTCTCACCTCTCCTATCTAGTCCCCACTAAGGGTGAATTTAAGGAGCCAATGTTTTATAAGTCAAATAAAGTCAAAATGCTCCTTACCTCAAATTAACTTTGCTTTGAGGTACAGTCCCACCCATAAATTGCAAACCTCCACGTGGGAGATTGAGCCCTTAAACTGAGGTCTTTGAATTTGTTTAATTAGCACTGTATTAAAAAGTTTTTTTTTTTAAAAGTGAGGGGAGGGGCATGTATCCTCAAGTTACACAAGTTATAGCCCCTCCTTACTAACTTAATCTAGGCCCTTTTCACTTTTTAGTTTTGTTTTCCTAAATAACATTTGATTGCTTACTGGTTTGCTAATGTAATTTCTATCTCTCTATTGTTTCTTATAGGTGTGAAAACCACCTTATCTAAGCTTCAATAATGTCCATCCTGTGTCTGTGATTGGCACATAGGTTGTTGACCTCCCTGACCTGGGTCACACTGCACACTAGGCCTTACTGGCAATGCTCTTTGGGAAGTCTCAAGTCTTTTTCCCAGGGCTACTTTGTAGAAGACACAGTGGTACCTTAGTTACCTGTGGTTACTAGACTTTTTAAATGGGACATTTGAATCTCTTAATTTAATATGCAATAATCACATTATGCTAATGACTTTATAAAGGAAGATAAATGTGATGGGTTAGGATTTGTTTGTTGTGTCTTGTTTGTTTTTTTTCTAAGCCGGAATGTCAATAAATTGATGTTTCTTTTTTTTTAATATAGCCTGGAATATAGGTAATTAAGAAGCATGGTTAAAACTATTAAAGTAGCACACTAATTCCTGTCCTTTAAGGACAAATAGCCACTCCTTTGAGAGGCCTCACCAACTACACTGGACAAAGGGAATATGGCTACTGGTGGAGAGTTGGGCCGGGGGGGGGGGTCCTAAATATTAGTTATTTTCCACCTAGCTTCTCTAATTAACAAATGTTTACCATTTGAACATTACATAATGTAATTATGGCGCATTTTGCCTTGATAGATCACAGAGAAGAAAGTTGTTTTAAAACTTTAAAAGTTTTCAGATTTACAAACTACAAAGTTTTAAACTTTTTAAAGTTTATACAACATGGTTTAACAAAACTTTTGTTTAGATTGAGTTCAAAACTTTCCAGAGTTTTAGAACTTTAATATACTTAGAACTTTTAAAACTTAAGTTTAAAACTTCTGAAACACATTTGTCAAACTTTTACAAAGATAGACTTTTAATAAAAAGTTTTCAAAACTCATTTAACTTAATATATTAAACATGTAAACACTTTATGTGTTTATGTTTTCCAGATTTGAGATTTGAGATAACTGAAAATATAAAATAATTAAATTAAATTAAATAAATTCATTTAATGCTACTTTCAGAAATGACACAGATCCTGTGTTATCATTTGTGTGTATGATGTGTTGTCATCATACACATTTAATCCCTCCCCTCACTCCACCTTCACATGCACACACGTCCACTCACTATGCCCCCCCCTCAGGAATGCATCCTATCCCATTTTAGCATTATACACCTTTGGGTGGGGCTCTGTTGACAGAGTTTATTACAGACTGCTTACCTGCAGAACAAATAAAGCCCTGGACTTTTTTTAACTAATACAATATTAAAAAACAAAAACATTGAATATATTTAGATGCCCAGGTTGCTATAGTTGCACCCTCCCATTTATATAAAAAGTTACATTTCTCTTATCTAATTAATAGCTTTTATTAGTATCAGTTAACAACCATTGGATATTCCCTGCTTTGTCTACATTAATTAAATCACAATGTGTTTGAGGGTATACTATTACTGGGCATCTTGAATGCCCCATTTAATAGTTCATTTCTTCCAAGGAGGCATTAATTAGCATTCGTTGAATGATTATATAATGAAGAGAGAAATAGACACCTGCCGTTGTTCAGTGTCATTTCTGTTGCACAGAGAATTCTCTTGTGGAAGTTGAATTATGATCAGAAATGTAATTAGACAGTCTTGTGGTTTTTGTGATGGTGGTAGTTGTGTTTGGTTAGATAATTAGTGACTTTCTCCGTAGAGATGGACTTGAGTGTGGGACAGTTAACCCCACTTTTTCAGACTTCAATACAAGTGATTTTAATGCCCCCTCCTTTTTTTGTGGTTTTCTCATTGGTTAGAATATTAGCTGGGTTGTTGTTGTTGTTGGTTGTTTTTTTTTTGCCTAGCTTCTCTTATAATTAAGGTTATTGTTTTGCATAATTATTTGGTATTCATCTTTGCTTTGAAAGTTTCTTGCTCTCTTCCTGCCATACAAAGTTATTGTTTAAAAATGTAAGGACGCTGATGATAAAGTTTCTGTATTGTTGAATCATAATGAGCAGGTGGCTTTTGAGGGGGGCAGGGTCGTTTGGACAATCAGAGTGATATGCTTTTCACTGCTGTTGGAATTGATTGACAGCTCGGTTCTTTTTCAGTTTTGAGGGTGTGTTTTGTTTGGCCACTAATTAATATGAGCCTCTCGAGTAAGAGGGTAGTTTTAAATTGCTAAATCTTTGTGTATGTGGTGCTGCTATGAATGTGTATGTTGAATATATAATTTTATCTTCATTTACAGAAACAAGCGGGTTTTGAAAACAAAGCAGCCTCGAAGAAGGGGAGCAAGAGGCCAGGATCCAGGCCTCCATCCCCACAGGTGTGAAGCCACACCCGGGAGGTCCCCTCCCACCCCCATAGTTGCCATGGGTCCCGGAGGAGCTGCTGGAGCTGCTGGAGGGTCAGCCGACTGCCCTCCCCCTCCCCCGCCCCCTCCCCCCAACAACAACAACAACAACAAAGGCAACCAGAGCCCCTGCGTCCCCAACATGACGGAGCGCAGGCGGGACGAGCTGTCTGAAGAGATCAACAACCTGAGAGAGAAGGTCATCAGGCAGTCTGAGGAGAACAACAACCTGCAGAGCCAGGTGCAGAAGCTGACCGAGGAGAACAGCACCCTCCGTGAGCAGGTGGAGGTGGAGCCTGTCCCCGAGGATGATGAAGACGACATTGAGCTGCAGGGTGCCGCGGCGGCTGCCGTGCCCACCACCCCCATCGAGGAAGAGTGCCCCGAAGACCTGCCAGAGAAGTTCGATGGCAACCCTGACATGCTGGCTCCCTTCATGTCCCAGTGCCAGGTCTTCATGGAGAAGAGCACCCGCGACTTCTCACTTGACCGCGTCCGTGTCTGCTTCGTGACAAGCATGATGACCGGCCGTGCTGCCCGCTGGGCCTCTGCCAAGCTGGAGCGATCCAATTACCTGATGCACAACTACCCGGCCTTCATGATGGAAATGAAGCACGTCTTCGAAGACCCTCAGAGGCGAGAGGCTGCCAAACGCAAGATCAGACGCCTGCGCCAGGGCCTGGGGTCCGTCGTCGATTATTCCAACGCCTTCCAGATGATCGCCCAGGACCTGGATTGGAACGAGCCTGCCCTGATTGACCAGTACCACGAAGGCCTCAGTGACCAGATTCAGGAGGAGCTGTCCCACATCGAAGCCCCCAAGACCCTGTCTGCGCTGATCGGCCAGTGCATCCACATCGAGAGAAGGCTGGCCCGTGCTGCTGCTGCTCGCAAGCCGCGCTCCCCACCCCGGGCGCTGGTGTTGCCCAACGCAGGTCACCAGGTGGATCCGACCGAGCCGGTGGGAGGTGCCCGCATGCGCCTGACCCAGGAAGAGAAGGAGAGACGCCGAAAGCTGAACCTCTGCCTCTACTGCGGCAACGGAGGGCACTACGCCGACAACTGTCCTGCCAAGGCCTCCAAGAATTCGCCGGCGGGAAACTCCCCGGCCCCGCTGTAGAGGGACCTTCAGCGACCGGGCCAGAATTAATAAGGTCCCCACAAGATGATGCTGTCTCTGCGCCACACCTGCAAGTGATGCTCCAGATCCATCTCCCGGGCAGACACGCCCTGTTCGTCCGAGCCATGATCGATTCTGGTGCCTCTGGCAACTTCATTGATCAAGAATACGTCATACAGAATGCAATTCCTGTAAGAGTCAAGGACTGGCCAATTCTCGTGGAAGCAATCGACGGGCGCCCCGTGGCATCCGGCCCCATTGTCCACGAAACCCACCACCTGTTCGTCGACCTGGGTGATCACCGAGAGGTGCTGTCATTCGATGTGACTCAGTCTCCGTTCTTTCCCGTCGTCCTGGGGGTTCGCTGGCTGACCATCCATGACCCCAACATCACCTGGAGCACCCGATCAATCGTCTTCGACTCCGATTACTGCCGCTACCACTGCCGGATGTACTCGGCCATACCTCCACCGCTCCCACCACCACCGGGGCCGCACCCGACCCTTTACTTCCCAGTAGAAGGCGGGTACAGAGTTTACCACCCAGTGAGGTATTACTATGTCCAGAATGTGTACACCCCAGTGGATCACCACCACTACCCGGATCACCGGCTGGTCGATCCTCACATAGAAATGATCCCTGGAGCACACAGCATCCCCAGTGGACATGTGTACTCCCTGTCTGAACCGGAAATGGCTGCTCTCCGAGATTTCGTGGCGAGAAATGTGAAGGATGGGCTAATCACCCCCACCATCGCACCCAACGGCGCACAAGTTCTCCAGGTGAAGAGGGGCTGGAAGCTGCAAGTCACTTACAATTGCCGGGCTCCGAACCACGTCACCATCCAACATCAGTACCCTCGCCTGTCTATTCCAAACCTAGAAGACCAAGCGCACCTGGCCACTTACACTGAATACGTTCCTCAAGTACATGGATACCACTCGTACCCCACCTACGCGTACCCGACCTACCCCGTAGGATTCGCGTGGTACCCCGTGGGGCGAGATGGGCATGGAAGATCTCTCTACGTACCTGTGATGGTCACCTGGAATCCACACTGGTACCGCCAGCCTCCGGTACCCCAGTATCCGCCGCCGCAGCCGCCGCCGCCGCCGCCGCCGCCACCCCCGCCACCACCTTCATCGTCCTACACCATGTAAACATCTGTCATGTCCTCCAGGAACTCCGCCCTCAGAAGTTTATTCCTGTGCAGCTTCTCAATCACACCGCTGGACTGTCACCTCAGCCTGTGGAAGGAGCTGATGCTAAGGCAGGAAATGTTGATTTCTTTATGGAGGGGGAAGTAAAATGGGGAGGACATGATCTTTCTTGGAGTTTCGGGCACTCTCTTTACATCAGGGGAGGACCGACGCCTTATGAGGAAGCCACAGTTATTGGTGCAGTGTGGGACGGCTTCCGTGATCCTCTTGCTGCACCCCTTGGAAACTTCACCATCGTCAAACTCCACTTTCATGGTTCCGTTAATATACAAGGAGCAGCAACTCGACCGGTTCTCCCAGGAGCAGGCAAAACCCCCTGCCAATTGTAACACCTCAAGCCTGACAAAGGAAGTGCTCTCTCAGACTGACTCTTGCATGTTAAGAGTGTGCCTTCACATCCCGGTGCAAATCACATGTACCCAAGAACTCTGGCTTTGACAACATCTTACCATCACCATGCCAGTAATGGCAACACCTCTCATCATCTGTGAGGGCTAAAGAGTAGCAAAAGGACACCCGAATTGTGTACCCAACACTTGAGAGGCTCTGAGGTCACTGGTACCAACTCCTGCTGGTACTTCAGAGGGTGTTTTCATGAGCGGCCATGTGTCTGCCTCCATATGCACCTGGGCATCCCATCATCCCCTCATTGGTCTGTACCAGGAGGATGCTTGAGAGGGGAAATGATTTAGCACCCAGACCACACTCTCAGAAGAGGAGGAATTAGAGTAGTACTGGACACTGTCTTGAGGCTATGGACTTGTAAAAGATCAGAGTCCGACCTGAAGCTGCCAATGGATGACAGGCCTCACCTTTGTGCTAACCTGGGGCTGCCTGACTTCTTTTAGCCTGGTCCCTTGCTACTACCTTGAACCATTTGTCTAACCTCTCTCTTTCTGTTTTACTACTGCCACTTAACCCTGCTGCAGGATTTGCCACCTTCCTGCCTGGTTGCTGAGACTCCATTTTGCTGCCATGCATGGAGATTGGAAGAGCAGGCTTGAAGGAGCATGTGTTTCAGCCCACATGGTCTCCAGTTGCCAACATACAGTTTGAGCAGTAGGAAGCAACATGGTTTATATTTCAGAATACATGTCATGGAGTCTTAATGGTGAAGTTTCCTTTTCCATCAACATCACCTTTAATACCTTCATTATCAGCCCCCCAACCCCTTTACCCTTGCATGTTTACTTAAGTTTTAGCTATAGTAGTATCTTTTAGGTATTTTTAAGTGATGACTATGCTTTCAAGTTTCCACTGATGAATAAAGAACTATCTAATTCTTCTAGTAAAATTAAGTAACATAGCATATTTCTGTGAACTTACTATACTGTGAATGAAAGTCTCTGAAGTACAGACTTCAACTTTAATATTACTCTCAGTTCTATCAATTGGGCCTTTAAAACTCACACGAAGAGAACAAACCTAATTGGCTGTTCAGTTGAGAACAACTTTATCTTGTTTTCCTCAATGGAATCAGAAAGCTTGTCAATCACTCGTGTGTGTTAGTTACTTTTTAAATGGTGCATTTGTGCTTCTGGACTATTGTGAAGTGTCACTCCAGTTTACCTCAACCTCAATTCCATTCTTCATACATTTGAACTCAAATTTTAATTGATCTTCAAGCTGCAGAATGCTCAGAAATGGGACATTATCTGCAGCCCTGGCATGTACACACGGACATTTGCCACCACTACAAGCAAAAGTCTGGAGAATTTGGCCATCGATGGAAGTCAGGACAACATCCCTGACACTCTTTGGACTGTTTATTAAAGCTTGTCATTTAACTTTTCGGCAGTGTGTACCATGTTCTATTACTCTGTATTCTATCTTTAGTTGTTAGCTATTAGGTAAGATAAGTTAGCTGTTAAGATAAGTAAACTTACTCTATAGTACTGAAATTTGATTAAGTTTCCTTTCTCTCATCTGATTTGTTTCTATTAAATCTTTTTTGGCATTTCTAACAAAAATGCCTTCATAATAAAGGAAGAAGTTAGAAGTGGAGCAAAACACAAAATGACAAAATTAATTAATTGACTGTTGGAAAAAAATAATTAAATCAATCAGGAAAATTGTCTAAGAGCTCCCATTGCTAGTCAAGCCTGAAAAGAAATTAGTGGAGGTCATCATGCTAGGACATTGAAATGAAGAAAGTTGACATACATTTATGAAGGGTCAGTTTAGTTTGAGCACAGAGGTATCTGTCTTACTAATTTGATGAAATCTTGTAAAGCAGTACAGTGAACTTGGAAGTGCACAAAAATAAGAGGGGCTCCTCTTTCTAGTGCAGTCTGGAAGTTTGTTTTAAGTTTTGCAGGTATCGCTTGGACTCCTGAGTTGACCTGGCTGTCATCCACCACAGACATCTTACTTCAGTACAGTTCGAGGATTGGCAACAGAGAAGACCCTACTGGAAAGGCCTGAGCGGTAATGAAGGACCACCTGTGGAAGAAGAGACTCGAACCATTCCGTGTTTTCATCTAGAGTGAGAACACACACCTAATGGGACTGAAAGTTCTTTGTTGTTTGAGATTGCAGAACAGTATTGAATTGGTCTGTGGAACATTGCATTGTTTTTCTTTCTTTCTCTCTTAAGTTTTAAGTAATTGGGGATATATGTAATCATAAGCATTTAGGCTGGGAGGGACTATTAATCAATCTTAAGTGGGTGGGATTACTTAGGAAGTTAGGACAATATTATGTATTAGATATCTCTATAAGTGGACGCGTTTACTTACTGTATCCTCTACCCCTTCCCTTCCCTTCCCTTTACACACCTCAAACGCAGAGGGAACTGCAGGGAGATCTAAAACTCTAGTGAAAGTTCAAAGGTGATTGGATTGAGAATTTAATAAAGGCCCTAGGTATTAACTCCTAGGATTAGATTGTGAAAAAAAATTGTGGTCATTAAAAGAAAGTGATGAATAAAAGCCCTGTCAGAACCCATCTCTAACCCTACCTCACCCCCTCCCTCCTCCCTATCCCTACCTCCCTCCCCTCCCCCTCCTGCAAATTGTATTACTCTTTACTATATTTCTCTGTATCTACTAATACTGCATTGATGTATTACAAAAAATTCAATAAAGATTTAGTGGTTAAGTGCATACTGTGTCCCTATCATTTCAGCGTCCTCAGGATCAGGGGCAGAGGGTGGAGCATGGAAGGGCTTGGGGATTTGGAAGGAATAAAGAGAGTGGGTAGTAAGGAAGGAGAAAAGCAGAGGCTAAGAGAGTTGGGAAAGGAGAGGGATAAGAAGATGCGTGATGAATGGGTAGGGGGCTAGGAAGTAGTGGAGAGGGGTAGTATGTTCGGGAGAAGGATGAGAATAGAAGGGTGGGAGATGAAAAATGGATGGGGGACTAGTAAAAAGGTGGGAGGAGGAGGGGTAGGAAGGGAGGGGGGTGAGAGGAGGGCAGGGGATGGGATTAGAGGAGATTAAGGATGAAAGGGGTGGGAGACTAGGGAAAAGGGATGAGTTAGTGAAGTAGGGAGAATGGAGGTGAAAAATAAATAGGGGACTAGAAAGAAGAGGAGGGGAGAGTGGGGGTGAAGAGTGGGTGGAGACTAGGAAGAAGGGATGAATAGGGTATTAAGGAAGGGAGGGGGATGATAGTGTGAGCCGGCTAATAGGAGAGGAGGGAGATGATCAGAGGGTAGGGATGAAAGGGGTGAGGAGTAAGAAGGGATGAGAGATGAGAGTGAGGGGCTGAAGAGTTAAGTAGAAGACTTGTAGAAGGGGAGGGGAGAGGTAGTAGGGAGGATTAGGAGTAAGGAGTGAATGGAGGACTAGGAAGAAGAGGTAAGGAGGGGTTAGTAAGGGAGGGGGATGAGAAAGACGAGGGATGAAGAGTAGTTAGGGAAGTAAGAGGAGAGTAGCAGGAGAGGAGATGGATGAAAAGGGTGGGGGATGAGTGAGGGGGGAGTAAGAAGAGGGGGTGGGGATAGGGCAGTAGGGAAAGGAGAGGATTGAAAGGAGGGGGAGGGATGAAGAACAAGTAGGGGCTACAAAGAAAGCGAGAAGGGGGTAGTAGGGAAGGGATGAGTGGAGAATGGGAGAGCTTGGGGGATGACCTCCTCACCCCTGCTAAATCCCCAATCCTCTCAGGAGGAGGAGGACTAAGGAAGGGAGAGGGATGAGGGAAGAGAGTGTGGGGGTATGAGCAAATTGGGGACTAAGGAGGAGGAGGAGTAGAGGAGAAGAAAGAGAATAGAGGGTGGGGATGACTGGGTAGGGGACTAGGGAGAATAGGTGAGGAGGGGTTGTAGGGAAGGGAGGGTGTGAGAAGAGAGGGTGTGGATAAAGAGTGGATGGAGGACTAGGAAGAAGATGTGGGGAAGGGGTAGTAGAAAAGGAGGAGTTTAAGAGGAGAATGGATGGGGAACTTGGAAGATGGGTAGTAGTGAAGGGAAGGAGAGGCGAGGCTGGGAGGCTAGAAAGGACGGGCAGTAGGGCAGGGAGAGGCAAGAACAGAGAGTGGGGCATGAAGAGTAGGTGGAAGACTCAGAAGAAGGTGAAGAGGGGTCAGTAGTGAAGGGTGGGGCGAGAAGAGAGGGTGAGGGGATGAAGAGTCCCTGAGTGAGGAGAGGGGGATGAGAGGGGAGAATGTAGGGATCAGTGAAGAAGTGACTAGGAAGAAAGGAGGAGGAGTAAAGGAGGGGTAGTAGAGAAGGGAGGGGGAAGAGAGAAGGGTGAGGGATAGAGAGGGGGTGGGGAACTTGGAAGGTGAGGGGTAATAGCAAAGGGAAGGAAAGGAGAGTAGAGAGTGGGAGACTAGAAAGGAGGGGCAGTAGGGAAGGGAGAGGTGTGGGGCTTGATGAATGGGTGGGGACACAGAAGAAGGTGAAGAGGGGTCAGTAGTGAAGGGTGGGGCAAGAAAAGAGAGAGTGAGGAGGGGAGCCAGGAAGAAAGGGTGAAGAGAAAGTAGAGAAAGGAGGGGGCT